AAAATATTATTCAGAGTTTTCTTTGGTTTTGAAAAATTAATATTTAATTTATTAAAGTTATAGTCTAAAATTCAATTTTCAAATCTTCTTATTCTAAGTTTAGCAAATATTGGCAATGACCTTAATGAGACCTTTGATTAATAATTGAGCCTATTTATAGCCATTGAAATGCCTTTAAGCCTTTTAAACTGCATTATAAATTGAATATTTTAATCTCATTTTGAAGTCCTTTAATATCTTAACAAAATAATCCTTCCCAACTTCTTAAGTAACTCATAAATTTAATAAAATAAACTTACATATAGGGTGATTAAGTACTCTTAACTGTTCTAGTACTGTATATAAACTAAGTAACATTACACTTAAATATACAAATCCAAATCAGTTACTCAATCACACGTTTCAAATAGAAATCTTCAAGGCAAGTATGTTTTATAATACTCAAAGTTCTCTAGAATATTGCAAATACTTCCAAATACCCACAGATTAATTATTAATGCATAGATATTAATGCTGAGTTTGGTTCTCTTAAACATTTTTATTTTTAATTCTAAGTCTTCCTAGAGTTAAAAATGCTTATCTACTAAGGAAACAATGATGCTGTCTCAAGTAATTTTGAGAGAATTCAGAGATTTTTATCAGAGATTTTAGCTTGGATTCTTGTCAGCCCTCTGTGTAGTCCACACTAGGAATTTTATGTCATGAGCGGTTGATCTTGTACACAGGGCTGTGCCCTGATGTGGCTGCAGGGCCGTTTACCACGGGTGTCTGCCCTGTTTGTTGGGATCTGCACCATACAGGGTGTTAAGAATTTGGGGTATTCCCCCCTGCTTACTTTTCATACCACTTAGCCCTAGCCCAGGCTAGCATGCAATTCTGGCTCCAACTCAGGCTGCTACTTCACTGGAGTTTGCTTTCCTTTGTCTAGGATGTATTAATTTCTTTTCCATCTAGCTCCACTGACCTTTGACAATGATGAAATTCTATCTTCTTTCCATATTCTTCCTGACCAGTAGGACCACACAGCTCATACTGTTATTAAAATGATATCCGATTGCATCCTACAAATCCCACAGCTTCTAAGGGAAAACTTCTGACAATTTTACAAAGGCTCCTATTGTTTAAAAATATGTTTCTAAACATAACATGGACTGGTGGAATCTTCAAGGCTTAGAAGAAAGAGCAAACATTTTGGGGCACCTGCTATGAGCCAAGTGCTTTGCATGTCCTACAACACCCATTCAAAGTGTTTATTTTTATCTTCATATTGAAATGAGGAAGATGAGGTCACATGGCAAATAAATGGTGGAGCTGGGACTAGATTTTACGATCATTTGCAAAATGCACTGTCCTTCCACTATGCTGTTTCCTGTAGCTTTGGAGGGGTTACTACCAGGCTTTCTGAATGAGCCAGTCTCCTCTCTTCGCTCTGACCACCAAAACTTTCCAGTGTAAAACTGGCAACCACACGTTCCAAAGCAGTGTCTTCCCCCAGTCCTATCCCCTCATATTCTGTGAGCCACCAAAAAATCTGGTGAACACTTTCAAAGATTTTCATGATAGACACACATCCAGGGCAAGTCTTAAGATGTGAGTTACAGCCCCAGTCTTAGGTCAAGGTCCTAGGGTCTGGCTTGCAGAGTTCAAGGCCTGACCTTGACTGACTCCTTGTCACACCCAAGAGACCTCTGGGCCTTCCTCCCTCTCTGGGAGGCCCTCCAACTCCAACTATTTGAGACATCAGCACTTCTGCCTCCTCCTCTCCTTTGCCTCCTTTTCTGTTTGCCCAGTGAAATCTGCTCACTCTGCCAAGTCCCTGTGTGGGTCATGACTCACACCTTCCTAGAGAAGGGGCCGGGAACTGAGGCCTTGGGCTCTGATGGCTAGGCCAGCTGGGGGAGGCTCCTTTGCAGTGTCCAGGCCCACTGGCTGGCTTCCTTCCAGTCATCCCGAATGGTCACCTGAGAAGGAAGAAGGGCAGTATTTGATGCCTTCTTAGAAACTCATTGTCCCTTTTGCTGGGGGTGGTGGTAGTGGTGGGGGGGACTTCCAGTAGAGCTCCAAGCAGATGGCAGCATTGGAGGGGCACCTGATGAGGGTCCAGTGCCAGCTCACAGGGCACTGGAGCCCTAGCAAAATGGTCCTGGCACCAGGACTAGTCAGTGATTCCTGTCCTGGCTCTGACATTCACTGTTGTGTAATTTAGCTAAGATATTGTCTTAGTCTGTTCAGGCTGCTATAACAACATACCTTAGACTGGGTAACTGATTAACAAAGATATTTATTTCTTACAACTCTAGAGGGTGGAAAGTCCAAGATCCAGTACCAGCAGATCTGTGTCTGGTGGGGCTCACTCTGCACTTTGCAGATGGAGCCCTCTCTCTGCATCCTCACATGGTAGAGGGGCGAGGCAGCTCTCTGGGGCCTCTTTTATAAGGACACTAATCCCATTCACAAGGGCTTCATCTTGTCACTTCCCAAAGGCCCCATCTTCTAATATTATCCCCTTGGAGACTAGGTTTCAACATATGAATTTTGGGTGGACGTAAACATTCAGATTATAGAAACTATGAATTAAGGTATTCCCATCCACTATTAGAATTTTTAGTTTATTCTTTTTAAAACTACTTGTCTAGACTTATTTTGACATAGGTTTTTAAAAAATCATAGGTCACTCTTGTACATACACAAAAAAAGGAACATACGTGTTAAATAGATTGAATAAAGTATTCCTAAAACTTCCTCACATTCAGAGTTCTACTCTTCTGAATTACTTTTTGGCTCAGACATTAAAACCTACATTTTCTGGCATAATATCATCCCAGGTGCTGAGTAAGGTTGTGATGTCACGCTGATAGTGCCACAGCTAGGGAGATCCCAGAAATGCCCAAAGCCTGCCACCCTAATCACACTCCCACCAAGCCACCTAAGATCCCTAAGGCAGTGCACACCCAAGGAACAAGAGTTGAGCAGGAATAGAAGGATCACTTGGCTGTCAGCACTGATAACTCTGACCAAAGCTCCTTAGAGTCCATGTCACGGGAAGCTTAAATGAAGACTTCTGCTGTGGCTTTAAATATCAATTTGGGACCTTGTTCAGGCGGAGGTTGTAGGGCGGAGCTTGTTAATATCGGGAACCTGGGGCATCTATTAATAAAAGGCAGCATTGTCTATCTTGCACCAGGAGAGGCTGCCTTACCAGAAAACCCCAAATCCTGGTTTTCTGGTTTCTTCATCAAAGGGTTAGCTCAGAGCACCGTAGATAGCCACAGGCTGTGGGAACAGATCCCTTCTCTCGACTGGCACGGGTGCCAATTGCTGAGCCAGGCACAACAGCTTGAGTCTCAATTATGGGGCTGGCTCCACAGCCAAAAGGAGTAGCCTGAAAGGGAGTCAGAGATTCAGTGGTGCTCCATCGTTTCCTGGAGGAGAAGTCCACCAGCATTAAGGGCCACATTCATTCTGCAGACAAAAGAACGTTTGGGGAGATGCTTCACCCCACCCCTAGCCACGCCTTCCTTTATCACTCCACAGGATGCTGAGCAGACAGAGGTATTTCAACCTGCTGTCTTGGGCTGGGTTCCTCATCTCACCCCTTACCGAGTGCTCTCTTCCCTTTTCATCCTGGGACCAGGCAGGAAAGTGGGCATAGGTAGGTGTTAGTGTTGGGAAGTGATCCTTACTCCCAAATCAAGAAATGACTCACATTTCTTATTCCTATGTGGCCTTGAGGAACCTTGGCTAAAGTCTCTTGCTAAGTTCCCAGGAATAGCTGAGAAACTATTTAAGACAAGCTGAGTGTGATCCTAGCCATCTGCACTTATCCAAGCAAGTAAAATGGATTGGGACACTGAATTTGCAGAAGGCCAAAAAGATATGAATATGGCTGTGTTTCAAAGTCGTGATAGCCACGGGTCCTGGAGCCGCAGAGATGCGGGGTTGACTCCTAGCCGCGCTGCTTATTCTGTTACTGTGGGCTCACAGCTCTCCCTAAACGTCAGTTCTCATTTCTAGGAGTGGATGATGCCAGTGCCCACCTCCCGTGAGGGTTAACTGAGAGACGTGTGCATGCAGCTCCAGCCTGGTGCCTGGCAGTCACTTAGGTACTCACTAAGCCGTAGCCGTCACTGTCATCTGGAGAGGGCAGGGGAGGGGCAGTGACTCAGCACAGAGCTTGCGTTTAGCATAGAAATGCTGGTTCCATTCGCCTCCCTCCCAGCACATTTTACTAACGTCTCTAAAATCCGGACACAGTGCAGTGTATTGCCTAAAATGATACAATGAAAAAGCCACTAATGAGGTGCGGCCGAGTTGTGGGGAATGTATGGGACTATGTGGTGCCAAGTTAGGGAACAAAGATAAGTTTACTATTCTTTGGTAATTGCATTATTGTGACAATTCTATTAACAGGTGATATTTGTCATGGTGGTGGTCCATTTTTCTTCTGTTTTCTAGATAAAGATGTAACCGTGTGGTTTCTAAAGCTCCTCAGCATCTTCCAAGCTCTAAATGAAACCAGTAACTATAGAAATAATTATGTTTCTAGAAACACCAACAGGAACTGGATGCTGGTTTGTGTGTAAAAGCCTGTAATCTCTATGTGATCTTTAGCTCATCTGTCAAGCAGAATATTCTAGGACTTTATTAATCTCCTTTCATTAGATCTGGCATTAGAGTTGTGGGTAGCGGCAGGCAGCTTTCAAAGTGAGGAATACAGTGTGAAGATTTCATGCCAAATAACCAGTCTTTCTGGGTAACAGAGGCAGCTCCTGAGAAATAATTTAGCCAGAAGAGAAAATCTGGAAACCCAGATCATGGCCTTCAATGCAGTTGAACTCCCAATTTGCTCCAGAGGCAGCCCAGGCTGGGTGAGAGATGAATGTATTTAATTGAAAGTTCTAGTTTATATTGCTCAGCTCAAGAACCAGACAAAAGGATTTGAAAAAAAATCTAAAAAAAAATGAGATACCAAGAAGGATTGGACAATTTTTATCAGAAAACCGTATCTCTGGGAGAAACCTCAGGTATGAGCTTGTGCCCTGGTCCAAAGCACTTATCTTACAGATGAGAAAGCTGAGATGCTGCCGGGGATTTAAGATCAGTGGAGACTAGAGCCCAGATGTCCTGGTTGCTGGTCTCATGCTCTTCTTGCCCGAAACCAGGCACCGCCCACTTGTGGGTGCCCGCTGGGTATGGGACGTAGGGCACCCCGCCTTACAGCACGAAGCTCGCTCTGCAGTCAGCCAAACACGGAGTAATTGCAGCATTTGTGTCATGTGTGGTGGAGTCGAGGAGAAGGAAGGATCTTCTCATTCTTGATGTGTCAGTGAAGCTTTGCAGAGAGGCGGGACTTCAGTGGGGCCATGGCAGATGAGTGATTTGGGTGGGAGGAGAGGAATACCATTTTAAGTAAGAAAAAAAGACATATTCCAAAGAGCAAAGGTAGAAACACAATAGGAATATTTGTGAGTCAGCGACAGTTTGGCAGAAGAGGTGGTTTTCCTGGGATCACAGAATGTTAGAACTGGGAGAGACTTCAGAGGTATCAGGCTCAATCTCTTCATCTTACTGCTGAAGATGTCAGGTCCAGAAGGTTTGAGTGGCTTGTCTGAGGTCACATGGCTGAGAGCGGCAGAGGGGATCGGAGCCAGCCTGCCACTCTCCTCCCGGCTCTTTCGCACTGCACACAGCTGACCTTAGGGAAGAGACGACGGAGGGACAGAAAGACCACAGAAGACCTTGCGTGAGATACAAGACGCTTGCACATTAAACACTGGAAACCTTTGGCTGTTTTTGAACTGGGAGGTGACACATGGTCAGGGGGTGCTGCACAAAGAAGGAGCTGGGGATGGTGTGCAGGGTGGACGGAAAGGAATGAAAGAAACAGACAGATCAGTTAAAGAGGCCTTGGAGCTGGGCCAGCTATGAGATCACACAAACTAAGATGGTAGCAGAGAAAGTAGAGAGAAAAGGACACTTGACCATAGGTTACAGGAGGGCATGGAGAGTCAAAGACAACTCTGGAAATTTAGAGTTGACCAACTGTCCATGGGAGGAGCCACCTGCTACTTTCCCCATGGCTTTTGCTGTCACTTCCCCTTAGCACCTTCATTCAGCAAAGACTTCTCAGACCCTGTGCACGGCGTTGAATATTCGCCCCAGCCAGTAACCTACTGGACGTGACGCCTCTGTTGTTTTCTGGAGATCTGCCCCCTTCGAATTTTCTTAGTCAGAATTGTTGGAGAGAACCGAGGTGAAATAAGGAGAACAGCTTGGTTATTGAAAAGAAAAGAACCTGATTGTCTGGAGGGTGTTGAAAAGCCAGCAAGATTTCAAACGGGAGGAGGATCAAAGTCTTGGGGAGGGAGGAGGCGGGCCCTGTGCACACAGATGCTCTGGGTTTCGGGGAGAATAAAAGGTCCCAGTGTGACAGCAACAAAGGGACGCTTTTGTGCATTCACAGTCGGGGGCCTCAAGGGGTGGTGGACAGCCTAGGCCCTGCTGGGGTGGCTCTAGACTCAGGCTGCTGTCCCCCAAAAGAGTGGAAGGGCCCTGTGTCAACTGTGAGAACAGGGGAAGGTGCTGAGGGCTCCTTATGGCCTGGAGGCCACAGCTTTGAGCGCTGCTGAGGGGCAGGGCCATGTCCCTGTCTGTCCCACCTCCCGGCAGTTCCTGCCCCACCCCGGCCTTTGCGTACCTGTAACAATTACCGTTTGCCCTTCTGTTCTTGGCCATCGAGGCACATCATCTATTTTTATCTCACAGATTTAAGCTTTACCAACTGGACTCTTGAACAAATACAACAAATAGGTTAAAATACATGGACCACCTAACAGACTGGCCATAGCTACTTGGAGAAGTATTCTTCCAGGCATCTAGTCCGAGGACAATGATTCTGAGCATGTAGGGGGTTTCAAAATTGTTTCACTGATTTTCGTTTCTGTCTCCTAATAATATCGAGTAAACATGGGGTGAAGGAGGTCCCCAAAGTAGGCAGGGAAATGTGGTCACAACCCTGAGTCACACAGCTTCTCATCCACCTTCCACAACGTGTGACGGTTGTGAGTGGTCTCTGGCTGCCTGCTGCACCCGCCAAGGGCAGGGCGCTTGGAGCTGCAGAGCGGTGCTCTGGAACCCTGGCTCCAACACTTTCTAGAGTGTGACTTTGGGTAAACGACTGAATTTCTCTGGACTTTGTCCTTCATCTGTAACATAGACATGGTACCTACCTTGCGTACTGTAGCAGCAGGATTCAGCAGGTCTCTGGCAGAGAGTAGCTGTGTACTATGTGGAAGTTATGATTGGAGTTAGCTGTTAATGGGACCAGTGCAGAGTCGATATCTGATTCTTGCTGTTGTCTCATAGTGCTTTCCTACGTAGAACGTTGGGATCAAGAACTGTCATTCTCAGGGTAAAGATGCTGGGGGCTGTCATGCGTGAGTTTGAGGTCAGCTCCCTCATCGCACTCCCCTGGGCCTGGACACGGCGGGAGGGCGGATGCCATTTATCTGTGATAGGAAGCTGAGGGCTGGGGAGTGTGTGATTATGAAGTCACATCCCAGCAGGAAAGAGTCAGTGACTTGTGCAAACTGCAAGCCAAGCCAGGAATGCAACCCAGGCATCCTGCCTTCCCGCCCCAAGCCTAATGATAAGGGCCGGCTCCGCTCCCCGTGTGGGGGAGGGACCGCTCTGGAGCCAAGAGCGTGAGGTCAGGACGCGGGTGCACTCACTCTGCTGCCTGGGTTTGGACATGGAGAAGTGATAGCAGCCTTCATGGGAAGAGCTCTGCAGCCTGGGTTTCTCAGGCCAGTGGTGGGAACAGGTCCTTCCCTGGAGACTAGAAGGAGTACAGAGCTTTGAGAAGGCTCCTCGGGCATGGGAGGGAAGAGCCGCCCAAGCCATGAAGGAGAACAGACAGAATGATTTATGAGTGAAACCTAAATGAGCAGAACTTGCCGTCCTGACCTCAGCACCAACTGAGGGGCGTGGGAGAGCATTCTGCAAATATTTAAGAGGCATCGATGCCAGAGAACTCGATGACTGAACCTGGGTGGAAGGGAGGGAGGGAGCAAGGCTGAGGGTGACCAGGAAATCTCACCCAGAGCCACGGGGGCACAGCCTCGTCTCCAGAGTGCTGTCTGTGTGGCCATCTCTCCGTGGCACGGGTTGCAGGGCTCATGGACTGCAGGATGCACCACATGGGCCAGGGGAACAGGCCTGGACCACTGTTCTTGCAAGGAAGTTGGGCAGAAAATATAAGGAAGAACAGGCAATGGGGACAAAATGAGTGGACCCTGACCTATCCTTTCCCAGCCTGTTCCAATTGGCTTTCTGGGCACCAGTGTTCTCCGTGCAGTCCTGGCTTGTTCCGCCTTCCTCTTGCCTCCTCTCTGTAGTAATGTCCTGTTTTATCAAGCCAAAGCCTGCATAGACTTCAGACCCAGTTTAACCTTTATCCTTCCGGGAAGCCCGCCCCAACCTCAGCTGGACACGCCATCATCGCCCACCGCCACCCCCCGTGAAAATCCCAGCACGCTTGAGAACCTGAAGGTTCTGCACTGTCCTATGTTCCACACATATTTTGAACTTTGTGTTTCCTAATCGTTCCTCAATCTGTTTGATCATGTAATCCGACTTTTAGAATGTGTGACATGCTGGCTTGCTCACTTGGTGACACGTGTGTATGTGACTGGCACTCCTCGAATACTTCCTATCCTAAGTGGATCCGTGAAGAAGACGTCTTCCCTTTCCTTTACCACCCCCGTGGCATACAACGGGCCCCACATGCTCCCAGCATTCGGGTTTAATTAAAAGGTAAAAAGAACACTAGAAACAAAATGAAAAGGCAAATGACAAAACTGGGAAAAATTTGCAACATATATGCAAAGGAATGATATCTTGAACATATAAAAAATTTTGTATATCAGTAAAAGAAACAATGAACGTTGCAGTAGAAATAGAAATCGTGAACAGTCAATGCACAAAAGAAACACACAAAGCTTATATATTTGAAAAAGTCTTTAACCTCACAGCAATAAAAAATGTGGAATAAAAATGAAGTACCTATTAAATAGGCAAAAAGAAAAAGAGAAAGGTTAGTGAAGATATAGGGAAACAAGCACTGCTTTACATTCTTGGTTTTTAAAAAGTCACTATGTACTTATTTTTCAATCTAACACCCTCCCAAATGAACTATTTCAGCTCTCTTTACCTATTTTTTCATGATTGTACTAAAAATGGGAATTTTCCCATCATGAACCATTTATCAAAAATGTGCTACTACTGACTGCATAATATTCCATAATGTGAAGTATCAAAATTCATTTAGCTGCCATTTTTGACTAGACATTTAGGTTGGGTCCAAGGTCTTGTCCGATCTTAGATTATTTCCTTAGGATAAAATTTTAATAACAATGTATTAGCTATATACTGCTGTGTGTCAAATCATCTCCAAACTAACTGAATATTATGTAGCTCAAAACAACAAGAGCAATTTAATCTGGTGTCTATGGGTTAGGGATTTGGACAGGGTACAGCAGGGGCTTGTCTCTGCTCCCCGGTGTCTAGAGCTTCATCTGGAAGCCTTGGGCATGAATCACCTGAAGACTCATTTACTCACGTGAATGGCACTGATGCTTAGCTTGGGCCGTCAGCTGGAGTCCCCACAGGCAGCTGCCTCATGTGGCATGGGCTTCCTTATAACATGGTGGTTGAGATTCAAGTGCAAGTGAGAAGGGTATAGACACTGTAACAAATTGCCACAAACGTAATGGCTTGAGTCTGGGTCACCTGTTCATGCATCTTACTCATGTCCTCTGTACCTGTTTGAGCTCAATCCCAGAAATGTCCTTTTCATTTTATGCGGATCATTATCAGGCTCATCAGCTTTATGACTTGCTGGATCTGACAGAGCACAGCTCATCTCATATTGGGTAGTTTTAAGTGTGTGGTCAGTTGGTATTCTGTGATCAAGCATTCTGTCTCTACCAGGACTCAATAATATTCCGGGAACTGCTCTCAAATGGCCTTGCACCAGAATCCCAGAGGCCTATGTCATGATTTCCCACTGGGGCTCATCATAATCTCTATGCTGCTTTTTTCCTGGTACTGACACTTCTAGTACTTCAGGGTCTGCTGGATCCCATGGCCTGAGTGACAAGGCTTTTGGCATGATGGACTTTCCTAATCTGGACACATCTTACGGCTGGCAACCTCCCATGTTACCCAGTATATGGAGAAGAGCAATACTTCTAGGTGTGGACTTTGTGGCCTCCAAAACCCAAAGAAGCCAGCCAGGCTCTGTGCTTTGGTCTCTGTGGTAGTGGATGTAAGATGTAGCCATTTGTCTTTTACTCTGGAGGGCACATCCTGGTACACCTCTTACCACTGGACTCCAACAACTTAACAGAAGTGGCTGCTACCCGGATCTTCATAGGGTTTATGACCCACCTCTGGCATGCACGGGTCTTCTCAAGGCCTGTCCGTCCCGATCAGCATGAGGTTGTGGCATAACAGTCAGTGTGACAGTCTGTGAGCTATCTGGGCAGTCAGATCTCTACCCATCTCTGACTATATTGTGACAGAGAGAGGGAGAGTTGACACAGCCCCTTGGCAAACCTCTGAAGGAATATTGTTTTCCGTCCCACACAAATACAGACTGTTTCTAATTCTCTCTTCTTAATTGGAATGGAAAATAAAGCACTTGTAAAATAGATGGTCAGGATCATAAAATCTCTTTGGACACAGCAGCTACAAGCAGAGTTCCCACTTGTTTAGGCCCATGGTAGTATCAGTCATTCTCCAGAGTTCATTGGTTTTTGCAGGGGCTGGGCTATTGAACTAACCGGAGCTGTGTATCACAGGGTCTCCAGACCCAGCATCTTACAGATTGTCAATGGTAACACTTATCCTGCTGACCCCCCTCCCTGCCTGCCCCCCCCCCAGGGATCTGGCACTGGCTGGGAGAAGTTGGGGGTAAGGATTCACAAGTTACAGATTCACCTTCCTTACCATGATAGCTCTCATCCCATAAGCCATAACCCTATGTAGGGGTTACTGCAGCTGCCTAGTGTATACCTTTCAACCGCAAGCTTGGGGACTGTGTGCGTGTGCAGACCCAGTGGGCCCACTGTGCACTGTGCGCCATGTAGTCCTGCTGTGGCCAGCACCGTATTCCTTACCTGGCTCCAGAGCCGTCAGTTCTCACAGGGGGCCATTGCCATGCTTTGGGTCTCCGGATGTCGGTGTCAACTTAGATCCTATGTTCAATTGTCTTGGAAAATTCTGGTTATTTCCCTGCCCCTGGTTTCCAGTCCCATGGGTAGGACCCTCTGGGACTCACACGGTAGATGTTTGCATGGCGTCCAGGGTCTTTCCTCCTAGGAATCCTGTCAGTGGGCTCCAGTCAGGTCTGGGCACTGAGCAAGAGATTGTATTTTTTTATTGGGATGACTCTCTTTTGCCTTCAGCCTCCTGCTCCTCCAAGGTTGCCATTTTTGGACTATAAATATTAATCAGAGCTCCTGTTGCTTCTGTTTCTTTGGAGGCCTGTCATTCTTGTGGATACTAATTAGCCCGTCTTTGTGCCTGCCTTTTCTACCACGAGTCACGCAGAGAAAAGTCACCACTAGGGTTGCCAGATAAAATACAGGATGCCCAGGTAAATTTGAATTTCAGATAAACAAGGATATTTTTAAAAAGTATAAGTATATCCCAAATGCCTCATAGGATATACTTATACAGAAACAACATGTTCTTTATCTAAATTAAAATTTAACTGGGAATCCTATATCTTTATTTGCTAAATCTGGAAACTTTGGTCCCCACCAATCTTTTTAGTGATTAGTGGCCTAGGTGAAGAGTGGACTTTGGGGCCCTCCTATGAGACATAATCCTTTGGGGGGGTCTCCTGGCCTCACATAATACATCCACTCCAGCACGGCCACCTCCCTCAGCCTCTTAATGCCTTCTCTGCTGCCTGCCAAGCAGGTTGGGCATCTCCAAGTTGGTGAGTGACCATTGTTTTTCCAGGGTTTTAAGAGTTATCCCAGCAGCCGTTTGCACCATGCGCTGGGCTCTTCCAAGGATGTTAAATCCATTAATCACAGACAGGGCCCTGAAGTCCCAGGGCCCTAAAACTTGCTGACTCAGTCTTTCATTCAGGCCACCTTGATCAAGCACCCTCAAAGTGCAGTCCCAGGAGCACTCCCTGCTCCTGCTGGCACGTCCAGGCTTATTCTTGCAATTCCTTCAGCGTGTAGTTCTTTCCTCCCCTCTCAGGCACAGCACGTGCCCACCTGGGTTACACTCCAGGGGTTAGCCTAGTGACTAGGAGACGCAATGGGCCAGCTCCCAAGGGGGCACCTTTTGCCTTGTGGAGGAGAGGACCCTGCAGCATCTTCCATCACCAAAGTGCTGGCTTTTACTAGGGGACTGCAGTCATCTCTGCAAGCCCAGAG